GGAGACTAAGGTGTGCCTGATCCAGGCTATAGTCTTCGCAATTACGTGCTAAGCATTGGAGAGTTGGACAGTAAATAGAGTTGATAAAGAATTAATGCCTTTGAGCTGTGGTGCTGGAGAAGAGTGTTGAATATACCATGGACTGCCAGGAGAACAAACAGGTTCTGGAGAAGGTGAAGCTGGAATGCTCAAGGATTCTGAAGCTTCGTCTGACATAATTTGGGTATGTTGCAAGGAGGGATGGGTCCTTGGAGAAGGACATCATGTTTGGCAGAGTAGAGGGGTGGCACAGAAGAGGAAGTCCTTTGATGACATGGATCGATTCTGTGACTGGAGTGGTAGAAATGAGTGCGTTTGAGAAGGCGAGTTTGGCACAGGATAGAACGCCACTTAGATCTCTTGTACATAGGGTCGCTATGAGTTGCAAGCGACTTGATGGCACATAAGAACAGCAAAAATACCCAAAGAATTTTTTAAAGAAGGTGTGTTGCACATATCTTTGTGAAGGAATTAATGTATTTCTCAGTTCATGCATATGAATTTTTGTAAATTGTATATATTTAATATTAAATTTAATTATTGTATGGAAATGAAAATTGAATTTGTTTCAAAAGGTTGTGTTTTGGGTTGGATTTTTCCCCCCGTTGTTTCTTTATTATATATATACTGGTTAAGACGGTAGTGTGTTAACAGGTACCTTTAAGTCTAATCCGACTTGCACAGAAGTAAATTGCCCCTCTTTCTCCAGTGGAGCATCTTGTGGATTTGAACCACATGCCTTCGGAATTGCAGCACAGTTTTTTGCCCCTTGGCCACCAACTTGCCATTCAAATCTACCAGCTGTTCTATTTGAGAAGGATGGGTAATCTCCTCCCGTGTGACTACTGAGAACCCGCCAGACGGTCAGCTATGAGTCAGTTCCATCTCAGTAGTACACAACAACAAAGAGTGAATAACATCAATTTTATCAGTCAGAGCAAGGTCAAAGGCCAAATGTACAACATACCAGCAGTTCCTCAGATATGAAAGTTGAAAATGATGCTGAATAAAACAG